AATTGCAACACTTTCGCAATGCACAGTAATACGATTATATTAGGCAGTGAAACTGCACATGCCAAACAGATGTTACTAGTGAATCTTTAACGGAACTCTGTCCTATAATATAGTATTACGGTATCAGACCAAAGTTTTATTGTAATACAGACAAGATGTTAGCTATGTCTCGGAACATAATGATCGTTTCGTCTCCAAGCAAAGCATTTTCTGGATATTAAGGTATTCATCCAAGGATGTTGAGAGATATTACTTACTAGCATTGACAAGAGATTATATCAGGGAGTACAACTACTTCAGCAGTGCAGAAGTTACTAGCGGATCCTTGACAACCTTACCATAGCAGAAGTGAGAATAGTCCGAACTCTGATAGATCCTTCAGGTGGTACCAACATGCTCCTCCATAATACGGTTCCGCAGAGGCCAGAGAGCTAGCGGCGGGATTCACATGGCTTGAATTTCTGCAAAAATGTCTGCGTACGCAGTACATTACTTAAGTTGGACACGGAGATACTCTCTTCATTCGGCATGTTCCTCTAAATCTCGGAAACAGAGTTATAACTCCTGTCATGGTTCACAGAGGAGCGTTTACCATGACTGGGATGAAAGGAAAGGAAGGGTTGCAGCACAACCCTTCGCAGACCCATCCAGATGCGGCTGAAATCAGGCTGCACGGGCCTTTCAGTCACTTCAGATTTGAGGTTTCCGCTGACCCCTGGGGGAACCATTCTTAGCGCCCCTCTTGTGCATTAGACCTGTCAGAGAGGATCTACTACGTACAACATACCGTGAAGTACTTCTCGGGTTGGGGTTGTACGAGGGGAGGGAGGTGCGAAAAACAGAAGCCAACAGCATTAGCGGACAGCAGAGTTGATTTCCAGCGCATAGCATTATCGCTGACCACCAGGGTCTAAAGCAAGGGATGCATCAGGCTGCCCTTTTTGATTTCAAAGCAACGGGAGGCTCTACCAATCTATGGGGTGTCAGTCTTTGTTTATTGAGAATTCATTCTCCCCCTCTCCCACGCGTATCAGCCCAGCATCTCTTCATCAGCTTTTCGGTGAACAATCAATCTTAGTCAGCTTGATTTCGTCTGCTTCACCATGCAGTCACTCCTCCAATATCGTCGTCTACGGCGGGAAGTGCAAGAAGATCTGACACACGTCCAGCAGGCCGTGCGGCCCGCCGACCCGGCCCTGAGCACATCCACAGCTGAGCCCAAGGAGGTGGTGCCCGAGGAGGAAGAGCCCAAGGAACTGACCCTAGTGTCAGGCGTCACCGTGTCGCGTCCAGACGAAGGCAACGGCAGCGTCGTCTTCGAGGTCGGTTGGAAGAGAACGACCCCAGTGATCCGCTGAGCTGGACGCTGGCGAAGAAATGGATGGCCATGCTGACGTGCTGTGCTATCGCCATTCCTCTGACAATGCTCGCCTCGATTGAGGGTCCCACCCAATATGCCTTCGACGAACACTACGGCGTGAATGCCATGGCTGGATCCATGACCACCGGTGAGATCTGACTTGCCAATTAGCAAATATGAACATGAACGCCAGCTGACAATCCCAGGCATCTTTCTCATCGGCACTGGTGTGGGTTCGCTGTTCGCCGGCCCATTCTCCGAAACATTCGGCCGCAATGCCGTCTACTTCAGCACCATGGTTGTGGTCCTATTGTTCATCATGGCCAAGGCCCTGGCGCCCAACTACGGCGCCGCCCTCGCCTTCCGCTTCCTGTGCGCCCTGTTTGCGGCCAGCCCGATGACAGTGGCGGGCGGCACCATCGGCGACATCTGGACTCCCATGCAGCTCCCCTTCGGCCTGCCTGTGGTCACCTTTGCCGCCTACGCGGGCCCCATCCTGGGTCCTGTGATCAGCGCCTACACGCCCGAGATCGGCTTCGCCTGGGCCGACTGGATCTCCATGATCATGGTCGGCGCCGCGCTGGTCTTTGTGCTGCTCGCCCAACCCGAGACGTTCGGGCCTGTGCTGCTGGAATGGCGTGCCAAGCATCTGCGCGATCTGACAGGCGACAACCGATATCAGGCCAAGCACGCGTCAGCCAGCTCGTTCGGCACCCGGCTGCTGACCAACGCGTTTCGACCTTTCTCCATGGCCTGGACCGAGCCTATCATCCTCGTCTTCAGTTTCTACCTCACGCTGTTGTACTTTGTGCTCTTTACCTTCCTGAACGGCTACCCTTACATCTTCGAAAGGCCGTATGGCATCTCCACGAGCTTGACCTTCATCATCTGGTCCGCCATGATGCCCGGCGTCTTCGCCGCCATGGCCTCAATCCCATACATATACCACCTGACCAAGAAGGCTGCCGCGAAGGCGGCCGCCGCGGGCGAATCCCTGCAGCCAGAGGTGTCCCTGTACTATTCCATGGCCGGCGCTTCCATCCTGATGCCTGTCTCACTGTTCTGGATGGCGTGGACATGCTATGTAAGCGAAACAAGCCTTCCTTTCCCATCTTCTCTCCGCTGACACCCTTCTTTTCCACAGAGCGACATCAGCATCTGGTCACCTATCGTGGCCTCAGGCGTCTTCGGTTACGCCCTGGTGTGCATCTTCACCACCTCCTACATGTACATCATCTTCGTGTACCTACAGTACGCGGCATCCGCTCTGGGCTTCATGACCTTCACGCGCTACGTCATCTCTGGCGCGCTAAGCCCAGCCTCGATCGTCATGTACGACAACCTAGGCCCGCACATCTCCTTGACCATCGTAGCCATCGTCACCACTGTCATGGCACCCGTGCCATACATCCTGTACATATACGGCCACAAGATTAGAGCCATGAGCAGAAATGTCCAGAACAAAGCCTAGACATGGTTTCTGTTTTTCGCTGGTGTACGCTTTTGCATTCCAGGTTAGCGTTCCCAGTCTACAGCGGTGGCGCGGAAAAAGCCATGGATTGGATTATGGGGCTGTTGTCCTTGGAAAGGCGCTCGCTATGGGATTCTTTCATGAGGACTGGCAACGTTATTATGATGATAATCGCTAGGGACCCCAATAGCTGGAGGACACTTCTTCTGTGAACCGTTTTGAACATTGTAATAGAGACATAGAAAATACAATCATTGATTGTCCACTTCCAACATAGTTTGACCCTCACTGATTTGAACTAGGCTGCTATATGGTCCGAGCCCAACCCGGTTGGTCCAGTCCGAACTTTTCTAGGGCTCAGACCAGAAACCTGATAAAGGCTTAGTAGTCGTGGGATTGTATTTTTGATATATATTTTGGTACGTCAGTAAGGTGTAGGATGCTCTATTCTATCTAGCTACTCAGCAGAATTAGTGCTGCTAACTACCCTACTTGTCAGGCGCCTCTTTGGCATCAAAGTGCCGCTATGATACTGCTCTGTCGCTAGGGCGCCCTGCTGGCGTGCCACTGACGTGCCATTTATGTGCCGCAGCTGTGCCAGTGCCATAGCTGTAACATATATATATACGAAGTCGTGCTTCAAAAGTCATTAATATACGCTAAAACTAGAGGGCCGCTAGCAAACTCTAGCTGACATTAGTGCTGCGTAGTTCGTGCTCTACAGAGAAGAAGCCCTGTAGTGACCCCTAGTAGTGCCCACAATTTCCTAAAGATCTCTAGGGCCTCTCGGCCTTATTTTAGGCTGCTAGGCGTGACTCAGAACCTATGTCAGCTAAGCGTTAGGCATTCGGCTTGTTAGCAGCTCTAACATCCCAAGTAGAAACTAGCATAACACTACTGCAAAAACAGCTAGCCTTACTTTATCCCAGTTAGGGTATATCAATAACTTTTGAAGCACGACTCCGTATATATTTATATATAGAGTAGATGTAACATTTTTTAGATAGAAAAAGGGATAGTTAGAAGAATAGAAGAATAGAAGATCATTCTATATGCGTTTTCTGCAAGTTCTGTATGCTTTTTCTGCGAATTCTTTGTGCGAATTCTGTGCGGTTTTTCTGTGCATTCTATGTGCCAATTCTGTGCCCTCTTTGATGGGGTGCGGCTTAGCAAGATTCTGCAGCCTTAGCACCCTAAAACACTGCTTATTTTCCGCCGTAAACTCAAGAAGGCGGGAAAGGGGAACTTTATCCAATAAGAAGGCTGATCATCCGTGATGAAGTGGATGAGTGGAATTCTATCTCAGAAGGAGGAGCAGGCTAATATAATGTGCGGAGTGGCACGTGCGCAGTCACGTGACATATGAGGCTAGGGATTGGCTGACGGCTAGTTCCAACAATCCGGACCGTACATTTAAAGTTACTGCACTTTGCAGCCAATTGATTGAGCTTAGCGGTGTAGACACATTAGATAGATGATTCTAGCATGTCATTGTCTAAGAAATCTGTAGCCGTTCATCCCTCGAAGTCTCCCCCCTTGATGCCTGTACTTCGTTTACATCCCTGACGGTGGCAGAAAGAGAAGAAACTACATCAGCCCAACACTCCAGGACTGCTGGCGTCGGATATCTCTCCAATCGTTACTTCATCGTCCACACTTTTGACTTCATTGTCGCCCACGCGGCTGCGCATGTCGCCACGGATCGTCGCTGTCGATTTAACATTAATCGTCTTCGTCACGTCCGGCCACCAAGCATGTATGTTCTTGCGATACCAGTCAACCGTGGCTCTTAATCCCACGGCGAATGGCACACGCTGGCGCCACCCGAGGGTCTCCAGCTTGGAGCCGTCAACCCGATAATCGTGGTCATTAAAGGGACGGTCGGTAATCTAGGCCAGGCGGTGATGGAAATCCCTCTGTGGGCTGTAGCCGAACAGCTCCAGCATGCGCACCGCAACCTCAAGGTTGGTCACGGGGGAGGCCGAATTGAGGTTGTACGCCTCACCCACGACCCCTTTGTGCAGCAGCGTGTCGAAGCCGTCCGCCGCGTCCGCCGCGTCCGCCGCGTACAGGTAGCGCCGCACGTTGAGGCCGGAGCCCTGGATCGTGAGCGGTTGCTGCTCGGACAGGAGCGTGTAGAAGCGGGGGATGATTTCTGCATGGATAGACACAATTAGAATGCATGATTCAGCTGCACTGCACAGGAAGGAGGGGGCATAGCTTACTTTCAGGATACTGGCATGGCCCGTACACGTTGTTGCTCCGCACCACCAGGGCCGGGATGCCGAACGACTTGGCGTAGGCCCAGACGTACATCTCGGCGGCGGCCTTGGACGCCGAGTACGGATTGGTGGGCATGAACTGCTTGGTCTCGTCAACGAACTCGTCCACCACGTCGCCGTATACCTCGTCTGTGCTGACGTGGATGAAGCGCCGCAGCCGACCGGGGCCGCCGTGGTGCCGCACAGCGTCGAGCAGCCACTGCGTGGCCACTACGTTGTTGAGCGTGAAGATCGAAGGGTCCTCGAACGAGTTCTGCACGTGCGAGCAGGCCGCAAAGTGCATCACGCAGTCGATGTCATGCTCGGCGAGCAAACTTGACACGGTGGCCTGGTCCAGCAGGTTGCCCTGCACAAAGTGGAAGTTGGGGAAGGCTTCCAGGCAGCTGATGTTGGCAAGAGAGGAGACTTTGTCGAGCTTGTCAATACAAATGATTTTGTATTCAGGGTATCGGACTGTCAGGTGCCGGGTGACCCAACTGCCGCTGGTAAGGGAGTCATGTTAGCTACCTGTGATTGAGCGTGAACGTCGCCAGGATAGAGACTAACATGAAACCTGCTCCGCCGGTGATCAAAATGGTTTTGACATCGTTCATTGGCTCAAATCTGGTGGTGCCGATGAGACGTAGACTGTCAAGATCACCCGGGCGTTCAGTAACGACATCATGATGGTGCACAGATGGAACCCTCGATCCCGAGCTTTCCGGCGGCGTGAGTTCAGGGAGACGGGCCATCGTTAGCTGTCGCACACTAATGTTGAATAATGAAACAATGTTGACTGATGTGAGACGTGTCGTTTGATTCAATCTGCCATTTGCATCGGATGGGTTTTGTACGATATGTGCCGTGCGTCATGAATACGCTTCAGGATTCTCACCCAACCCTAAAGCCTTCTCACCACTGCCCTCGAGAGCCTCCGAAGACGGCTGTGTACGGCGCCACGGGACCACGGTGCCACTTTTTCTTGATTATCTCTCATATCTAGTCTGGCTTTCCTTGTTTGGGAAACCCTGTGATAGCCAACTCCGGATTACTCTGTAAGAGTGAGGAGAGCAAAGGCTAGAATCCGCATCCGTCAGCTAAGCTGGGGACCTTCTAGCATTTGCAACAGCCGCTAGTACTCCAGCTTTGGCGGCGTTGCTCTGCGCAAAGCCGGTCTATCGGCTGGTGGTGGGGGCGATGGAAACGGAGGAACTTGTAAGTTGTCAATCCGGAGTCATCAACCTTTAGATTGGTAGCGGCGAAGTACATCTCCTCTCCACGCAGTCACTATGACGACTGGGCATCGTTACACTAAACCCATCGCACTCCGGCACCTCAACTCCTGATTGACCCTTTGATGCAGAGTAACGAGCGTGGCAATGTCCATAAATCAGGGGTTTCCTCATCGTGCAGGCGTCGCTGTGTCATAACAGATTAAACATATCAAACATATCGTACCGGATACACATCAAATCGAACGGCCAGTCTTCCTCGTCCAACGTCGACTGCGAACGGCACCATGGGATCCAATACGCCCGAATCCCAGATCTTCTTGATGTTTGGTAGGCTGACCTGGGGACAATCATAATGATCTACGCTGACTTGACAACCCAGGCAATGGCTGGATTGCTAACCTAATGAAGGATATACTTCTAGAACAAGGCAAGACTATCATCATGTCCAAAGCTAGGATAGAGAGCCGTGAGCAGGTGTTGAGGTAGGCCGCATCCTTTTTCTGAGCACACCTGTCGAGCAAAGCCCCGCGGTGCAGGCCTCCGGGCCGAGCCTAGCCACATGGCAAGCCGCACGGCAAGCCCTAAGTCTCTAGCAGGGGGCCTGGCTAAGTTCCCACCAGCGAGCTTACCAAGCACAAGCCCACCCGGGTCATCAACTGCGCCAGCACGCGCGGCACGCCAAACGTCGACTGGTGCGAGGACCACAAGGTTGAGACGGTACGGTCCAATATCCTGGGAGTGCTCAACGTGGTCGACACTTGCTTCCAGCTGGGCATCCACGTCACGCAGATCGGGTCCGCCTGCATCTACACGCTGTCGGAAGAAGAGATCAAGCACCAACCGCCCTTCAAGGAGACAGACGAACCATTCTATCAAGGCTCGTGGTATTCCCGCAGCCGGTTGCTCAGCGAGCTATCCATCCGCCACTACTCCAACCTGCTGCTGTTGCGTATTCGATTACCAATTGCGGCAGACTTGCACAAGAACAACCATATTGGAAGGCTATTGAAGTATGAGAAGATTGTGGACTTGACAGGGGTGGGTGTCCCTCAGATTGTTTTCTCTCAGCACCCATTCGTCTTAACTAGTGAGACTAACTTGAATAAATATAGTCTGGCACGGTCCTGCCCAATCTGCTGCCCGGTGCCCTCGTCCTCTCTGAGCATGCCGTGACGGGTATCTACAACTTTGTAAGTCGACAGATGCGCCAGAAGTTACCACACATTTCGATTGTCCCGAGTTCTATATCATTAGGTGTTTGGCTGACTGGCTAAATAGGTGACACCCGGCCAGATCAGCAACGTCGAGCTTATGGAATTGGCCAAGAAATACATTCGACCTGATCTGACGTGGCAGACGTTCGTGCTGGACGACATGCTTAGTACCCTGAGGGCTCCGCGCTCCAATTGCATCATGGACACGACCAAGCTGCAAAAGAAACTACGGGAGTATGGCTATGAGGTCAAGGAGCGCCGGGAGGCCCTGGAAGAGGTATTCCAGATCATGGCGGAGAAAGGGTTATAGACAATTGGGTTACTCTCCTTTGGCAGCCTGAAAAGAGTTCTTGGTCCGCCTCAATCATCTTGGATGTTAGGATCTGCAAGTTGTACACCAACAAGCAACCACGCTGCCGCTGGGTCAAAAGGTCAAATACCACTAGGTATGGTTAATTGGTAGTGCACCCACAGTACTCCTATGTGCGTAACATTGGACAGGTAGACTCTAGTCGGATCTTTGCGGGCGCCTATTGGCCAGATTTGCTGCTTTTGTACTGTGGAATATACGCGTTTTGACGGATCTATTTCTACTGCAATCTCGCAGCTAATTCTAGGTGCAGCCAATTTCTACGTATATCTACTACAGAGGGAGGCATAAGTATTGGTAGGCTGGTGCTAGTAGCGGCTAATTAGTATACTCTATCATAGTGCTATCCCCTATGTCACTAAATGGGTATCCTTCTTTTTTAAGAATAGTGTTCCCATAAGTTCAATTGACTTAAACTCGTTTTAGCGTAATAACTAATGAAGTGGATGAATGGAATTCTATCTACTGTAGAATCTATCTCAGAAGGAGGAGAAGGCTAATCTCCTAAGGCGCACAGGCTCGTGACCGCCAAGGATTTGGCTGTACGCGTACGGCTAATTCCAACTTGAACAATAATGTTGCTGCAGCCTTGGCAAGAAGAACACCAAAGTTGATTTAAACTCAAAGACGTTTTGATCTGCATTACTCTACTTATTAGACTTGAGATTTTGAAAATAACATCATTCGATAGCTCTTTGAATTCCAGAAATCCCTGGCAAGGTCCATAACCACCTCATGTATATGCACCTCTTGTTAGAAGTAGTAGCAAACAGCGTACGGAGGTGCCAATTCACTTGATTGAGTTACTCCTATCAAGAGGAGCATTTGCTCATACTAACGCCCAACACCACAAAGCGGGCCACCCCACAAAGCGGGCCACCCCACAAAGCGGGCCACCCCACAAAGCGGGCCACCCCACAAAGCGGGCCACCCCACAAAGCGGGCCACCCCACAAAGCGGGCCACCCCACAAAGCGGGCCACCCCACAAAGCGGGCCACCCCACAAAGCGGGCCACCCCACAAAGCGGGCCACCCCACAAAGCGGGCCACCCCACAAAGCGGGCCACCCCACAAAGCGGGCCACCCCACAAAGCGGGCCACCCCACAAAGCGGGCCACCCCACAAAGCGGGCCACCCCACAAAGCGGGCCACCCCACAAAGCGGGCCACCCCACAAAGCGGGCCACCCCACAAAGCGGGCCACCCCACAAAGCGGGCCACCCCACAAAGCGGGCCA